CACCTAATGGCGGCTCTCTTCTCTTTGTGTATCCAACCAAGAAAGGTGCATCAACCTTCAAGTCCCAGTACCTGGGCCCCATCCTCGACCCCCTTCTCCGCCAGCTCGTTGTAGTGAATGAGTTGTCCGCAGACGTGGGGCGCTACCTCGGCAAGGTCTCTTCTGTCTCTCAAATGGACGACTTCGCCACCATGAAAGCGAACATCGTGGCACTCTGTGAATCATTGAGCGATAACGATTCCTCCTCCCGATACCATGTGGCCGATGCAGGGCGTGGAGACACCCACCTTGACCGCAGCCTCTGGGCCGAATGGTTCATCCACCAGGAGAAAGCCCGCATGAAGGAAGTCCTCAGCCTGTACTGGCAAAACGGCCGGCGCTCATCTAAGAGCGCAAGCTCCGGATGTTCAGGCCTGATGGGCAACAAGGAAGTCACATCTTCCGGGCTCCTAAGTGAGATCTGCGATGGCATCCGAAAGCGGCGCTATTGCGAGGACAGTGAACCTCGTGATGGTATTGAGCTTGGTGTCTTTGTGATTCGTCGAACGAATTAGATCATTGCAGCATTGCCAGATCGCTTTTTCTTGCTCCTCCTGGCTCTTTCTCGAATCCTCACCCCCTTTTCATTCTTCCACAACCCCCTCTTCCGCAATAGCATATTTTAACAAACGGCCTTTACAAAAGATGACATGGGACCCATGGAGGTGTCCCCGGCGTTGGATCTCGATTTTTCGGTGCGAATTGATTCTTTCGCACACTTGCATGACTCGCTTGGGGCTCTATTTCCCGCGTGGGCATTTTGAATGAACTATGAATACCCCGGTTGTGATTGGCGATTCGGGTTTTATGATAATTTTTGGTCTGTCTTGATGATGGACAGAGATGTACACAATTTTAGTGGGAACATATCTGCTATTAACAACATCTTTTCGTTGTCTGCAATGTTGCATATCATCTGGACTAAGTATATGTAGTGATCACGATTGTGGCTCTATCAGGCTCTCATTAGGCATCACCGAAATGTCTGGGCAAAGGGTCAACACCCACCTTACCAATTTGGTCCTCTGGCTTTCATTAAAGAAGTGTGACCATCTATGTATAGCGTGACAGTGAATTGTGTCAGCACTTCTAGTCTCACGTTATTCGTGAAAATCGTACTTTGGACACCTTTCGACAGTTTTGAAGCTAATAATTCTGAACAGGCATTCATTAGTGCCGAAGTAGACAAAGGCATCTTAAAAAGACACTTGAGAAGATTCTAATAATTAAATGTCATTTATTCCATCTTCATCTTGAGCCAAATGGATCAGATTGCTCAACTACGTCATTAAGAACAGGGGCTGTTAGATTCTAGGTACTATTGAGCTACTGCACACTTCTACTTGGTCTGGTGTCATATCTAGATGTAAGGTAATCTTTTTGGTCAATGGTTTAAATGGCTGTGATCTGAACTGTCCAAGTAACCGTCATTACCAATGTATATCGCTCAAGATAGCTGTGGTCCGAATTGAAAAGGACACCAATAGAAATTGGGAAAACCCATTTCTATTAATTCATTGTGCTCCCCTTTCTACTTTCTCCACACAGTTTCTCTCAAACTAGAACCAGGAACTCCAATTCCTATTCACCTCGTCTCTTGCACCTCATTGTCCACCTTCGGGGGCGGCCAAACATTCTGCCGTCCATATTCGACTGTGACCCACCCCTCTCATCTCATCTTCCTTTAAATCACCTACCTTATGCAATCCACCACCCTTTCTCGCCCACCCTCGCCATATACAATGTCCTACCCAAACCCTCCGCCCCTCAGCCCCGGTGGCGGGGCTGGCGGAGCGCCTTCGAAACGCGATAAACGGCGTACCGCGCTCCAGGAACGGCTCCAGGAACTGACAGGTCAGTTCAGCAACAACCGGGACATCCAGTTTCGTCAGCAGTTGCACGCACTCCAGTGCGATATGACGCTGATCAACAATGCTGATCCCTACGTGACTGGACCGCTCCCAGACTCTGCGGAAAGCATTGCAGCATTGATTGAGGAAACTGTTGGTGGAGGCAGCAAGTTTGCGAAAGAAATGGCTGGCCTTGCTGGATCCTGGTATTCCAGGTTTGTGCAACAGGTTAATGAGATCAAGGAGAAGAGGGACGCAGAATTGGTCATGGCCATGGTGAGTTTTAGGTTTTTCTCATCTATAAGGAGATTTCTCTAACCAGTGCCTTGTTTTTTTTTTCTGGTACAGAACAACTACAACAATGTTATGGAGAGACAACAGCGGGACCGTGACTTTCGCACTTACTTCGCACAGGAAGAATTCCGTCATCTGTCTTCTACCCTTCGAGAGCGATTGGTGCAGAATATCTCCGGCAAGCGTGCCCGTCTGATGCGTGAAAAGGAGCAGCTCGACATTGCCGACACCAATGCCCTCCTCCTCCACCCCAATCAGTTCAGCATCACAAACCCTGCCAGCCCTGGTGGTATCCACAGTAACCGCAAGACAACTCGGCACACCCGTCATCGCGTTGACCTCGACGAGCTGGGCAATGGTTTCATGTCGGAATTGAACAAGCGCAAGCGGAAGGCTCCAGAGGAGGAAACTGGATCGCCTGCGCGGGACGCGGGCGATGCCACTCCCGCGAAGCGCAACAAAGCCGAGGTCACAAAGGAGCAGGTGGCACCAACCTACTCGATCCACTCCCTCTTCACCGACAAGGAACTTAATGCACACGCAAACCAGGCACACCTGGCGGCTATCCACTTCTTCTCTACTTCCAGGCGCCCAGACCACGGATCCGGCACTGTGACAAACGGTAACAACACCGACGCCGAGGATACCCCCGAAGGCACAGGCCACGAAGATAACGGCACCCCGAGTGCAGCCGACATGATGCGCACCGCCAGCCACAACTTCCACGCCACCAGATCCACCCGCACCACCGCCGCACATAGCGCTCTGAGCGCCCTAGCCGACCTGGCTGATAAGCCCGCCACCCGCCCAATCCTCCCCTACCACGTCCTCTCCAACCACCATGCACGACCCAACGGGAACGCACCCCCATTGACCTCCCTCATGAACGAGGAAGTCGACGACGACTGCGCGCGTATCAGCCGTCTCGCTAGTAAACCACCCAATTGGATCGACGCATCTCTCGTCGAACTCGTGGCCGCACCCCTTCCTACTTCCGCAGAGCTGGTCGATGGCCACCCTGCCGATCCCGCTGTCTTCGGCCAGCTACACCCGGATTTCTCACCCGCCATGGGTATTGACTGGACTCCTACCCTCCACCACCCGGGCTTCGAGATGTTCCAGCCTGCTGCCATGGAACGCGAGCGCAGTCGAAAGCGGACCCGCAACCACTAGGGATATGCATATGAAGTCTCGGATGTACGTTAAGATGGGTTGGGATGGTGTTTACCGCGGGACGCGGTTACGGATTACCCTTTATCGTTGATCATATTAGCTGTTCTGAGGGATGGACCTCGGAGGTGTTTGGGATTTCATTTTCATTTTTTTTTCACAATTTTCTCCGTGGATTTTCTTTTTTCTTTTTTTCTTTTTTTCTTTTGAGGAACTATGATTGCCCTGGCCTGCATGATGTTGTTGGAAAACACACCTATCGTACTTTGTTTCGAAGCTTCGTGCTTGGCCCTGTAATGGGTGGTACAATTTACATGGATTCCTTACTCCTGAGTCTTCTGTAATTTGATTCTACCTGATAGGTCTATCTATGTATTAAAGCCTCAGCACGGGGATATCTCCCTCCCTGGGCAGCATGACAGTCAACAGAACAGGCCAAATGCCATTTGAGGGTATACCTCAATTGCCTTGAGTGTTTGTTTCCCATATCACAAAAGTGTCGATGAGCTCAGAGATATCATTTCCTCAGGGGTGACTGACTCCGGTCTGTATTCTGACTTATGAACTGTGCGATACTATCAAGGTTGTAAATTTTGATGAAGTGATCTCAACTTGGGGCTAACATCCACATCATCATTATGACCCAAACGGAACTCATCGCCGGCCATTCTATCAAGTAGATTCTCAGTTAGTTTCTTAAGCTACAGCAGTCACAACATCCCAAGCAACACAGCACCATCCGTCCTCATGCTCCGGCGCGCCTTCGCTATCCTCCCTCCCATCCCCAAACCACCACTGATGACCTCCCCATCCCGACCAAAAGCCGAATCCCCCAAACCACTCTTCAGCGGCAACATAAAACCAACCCTGCAAACCTTCACCGAAGAAGCCGCAGCTCCATCCGCACACAGCCGCATCCTCCCCGCCATTAAACACGACCATTTAGAACTCGAATCCCACAGCAACAAACTCCTCTCCTCAACAGACCCAGACGAACAAACCCGATTCCAAAACCAGTTCACCTGGGAACTAGCCCGTCATCTAATCGGCGAGGAACTCGTCGTCTATCCCGCGCTCATCGAATCCCTCCCGGACGGACAGGGACTAGCAGATAAAAACAGACTCGAGCATCGGGGTGTTAAGCACCAGCTAAAAGCATTCCAGGGTCTTTCCTCTACAGATCCGAGATTCGTGCCTACACTGAAGGGGCTCATGCGTGATTTGGGGATCCATGCCAGACATGAGGAGGATGTGGATTTGCCCAGACTTGAGAAGTTGTTGTCCAAAGAGGAGAGTGTGGAATTGACCAAGTCGTTGGATAGGGTCAAGATCTTTGTTCCGTCGAGATCGCATCCGCTTGCGCCTACTGAGCCGTTCTTTGAGACTGCCGTTGGACTTTTGACGGCGCCGATTGATTTGTTGGCAGATTTGTTTCGGAAATGGCCTGATGGGAAGGAGAGGAAGTGGTAGGGGAGAGAGAGGAGGACTAGGTAAATATGATATCTATGGAAAGGTTTTTTAATCATCTACGTTGGAGATGCCCATTCGATCCATCCACGAATCAGCATACGCTTAGGCTAAATGAACACAAAAATCTACTATCTTTTCAACTCGAGCACTGGAAAAGCCATCCTCGTCACCATCCCATCATCCCTCCACGGCCAAAACCGCCGATCCAGCGCCCAACCGCTGCCCTGAATAGCCATGGCGCTGCACGCGACGCAACTTCCCTATTCGATTCGCAGTTTCGATTGCAGACTGCTGCACCTCATCGTCACCTGACGAAGATCGTCGCCGCTTCCACGCCTTACGGAAATGATGCTGTTCATCATCCTGCTGTCTTTGCCGCATAGACAGGAAACTAGCATGTGCATCCTTTTCTTCGCTGAGAGCCTGGACCTGCACCGCAAAAAGAATCAGTCCTTGATTCGTTATACTTCCAGGTCAAATTCAGAAAGGGTGATGGCGAACCCGACTGCATAGAATGATAAACAGCGTAGCAAAATAAACAGCAAGAGAAACCCCGAAGAAAAAAGAAAAAAAAGAAAAAAAAAAAAAAAAGGAAACGTGGTGTTCACATACATGCGATAACCAAACTTCCTGTTCAGAACTCCACGCCTTCTGACACCTCCCCAGCTGTCTCTGCGCATGCATAAGCTCCCTCTCCTGTTCGACAGTCCACCGATCCCGACTGCGGATAATACTCGCCCAACTAACAGCGCGAACGAACTGGGCCGGCGTCGGACGCGTCTGGCTGGAACAGTGCACCCGGTTCTCGGAAGTCGAATCCGCCACTGGATCCGGGAGATTTGCCGATGCAGATTGTGCTGATTGGGGGGTGGAGGGGTTGTAGTTTGGGTGGGTGTTCACCGCTACCTGCACGGGTCCGTGGACGTCATGGTGCATGAAGATGGGTTCAGTGTTCTGGTCGTGGGGGATGTTGGAGTCTGACCGCATGGGATTCTTTTCGTTGAGGTGAACTTCCGGTTCGGGGGATTTGCCTTTAAGACTTGTTCGTCGTTTCCAGGGGAGAGAGAGTGGTGGGAGGGCTCGTTGGACGCTTGTGAAGACTGGCATCGTTGGGATCTGAGATGCACATATACTTTATGTATGGAAAAGGGATAGAAGAGAGGATAGACGTGTTATCTTGTTCTTTGGGAAGTCTTTCCCCGTATTGCTACCAACCTTGCTTTTATAAATGTCCCGGTTCGCGTCCCAGGTGGTATTTCACGATCTAGCCCAAGTACGAAAACGCGTGCAGGGACACCTCGCAGGCACCTCGCAGGCACCTCGCAGGTACCTCGCACGGAGGTGGGGAATGCGAGGCTCTCCGGCTTCTGCTTGGCTGTCCACGCGAGAAGTACACGATAGTGCAGGAGGCGCGGGTTATCATGGTTGGTCTAGATGGTGGAGGCCTACAGGTTTAGTTGAAACTTCAATGTAGGTTGTGCTTGCTTCGGGCACGGTTTGACAATTTGAGGGGCTTGGCTGTACAGTCTTTTCATGATGACGAGACAGAAGCGGGTTTGGAGTGAACATTGACGTTGACTTGACCGGTGTAATGAGCTGGACTGAGTTGAGTGCTGGATTCAATCGGGCGATTTACGTGTCTGTCTCTGCTGTGAGATACTTACTCGGGGAACTAAGGGATCGTGATGCATGAAGCCTCCCTGTTTGGCTAGATACATATTTACAAGACACGATATACACAGGATGTTCGCAAGTGAAGTCAAGGATCCCCTTCCTGGATTTGGTACTTTGGCCACATCGATCGAAACTTAGAAGGGATACGCAACATGCAGCACCTTATGAATGTTCCACTGATGAGGCTGAAGGCTAGAGAGGCCTAAATTAACGGGAATAAGAAACACCTCCAAAACAGCCCAATGCTGCACACAAGCCTAACCAATAACCGTGAGGGAATCATAACTAGAACAAGAGCCGACGCATTGAAAACAAAACCATGACGCCAGGTACTCGTTGGATATCCAAAAAAAAAAAATTCATAGTATAAGAAGAATTGGCTGAAAAAAACTAGACGTTCATCGCCATGTATCCACAGAAGTACCCCGGTTGGCCTTGGCCTTTCTTTCCTCTCGGATCTGCTCGCCAATAATGATGCTAATGAGTCTCCGATGCAGGTCAGCTTCCGTCCAATCGATCTGTCCGCTGCCACCATATTGGATGTCAGCCCGAGCAAGGTCCTGGGCAAAGCGATCGATGATGGCAAATTGGATCTCGGTGATGGGCACCCCGTGATGACCATCGGAGGTCCATATCCAATCACCGATGATGGAAGCCCGCCCTGGAGCATCATAGTATTCAAAGTGCTCAGGGTAGCGCTTGGCAACTCGGTAGATACGACGAAGCGTGGCGTAATGCTCGTCGGAAAAGTATCCGAAGACAGCAAGTGGCCGTCGTTCTGGAGGCGCTCTATTTTGGTGGTTAACTGGCTCTGCATCTTTGTTCTCCAAGAGATCTTGCGAGACACTCCGCTTAAAAATGGGCGCCTCCTCTTCTTCAAGGAAGTCTCGAGAAATGCTTCTTTCCTGTATCGGACCCTCCTCCTCCTCTTCTTCCATTGTGGGCAGAGGATCTTGCTGTCTCTGTGGAGACTGAGACGGCGATGGCTGCCTCCAATGGCTCGCGGGTGATTGGCTCGCTTGCTTTGAGAGAGGCTCATCTTGGAGGTGTCCCTCAAGTTTCTTCGCAGATTCAATGCTGGCCATTTCCTCTTCATCTTCAAAATCAGACGCTTCCTCCGGAATAGTACTAACACTCGAGCTTCGGTCACGTGTAGGGGCTTTCAGCCATTGCGGAGTGAAACTGGTTATTTTACTGAACCAGGATGATCCTGGCTGCTCTCGATTGAGCTGACGAGGCTGCGGGGTGGAGGTAGAATCAATGTTGGCAGATTCGGATTGACTGAGGGCAGCATTGGAAACGCTGCTGTTGTCAAATTCATCTTTCAATGGTTCCTGCATGGGCGGGCTTCTTTGTACAATCTTCGGGGATTTCTTCTCATCGACAAACGCAACTTTTGGACTGGGGACCCGTGGATTAGGAACATCAGGGCTGGACTGGGAGAGAGGTTGTAAACGAATACGCGCTGGAGTGCGCGACACTGGGCCTTTAATGGGAGAGCCATTGATGGATGGATTATGTGTCTTGAATGAGCGAGCTAGCACACCCCGAGGAGTGCTCGTTCCATTGTAGTACCGTGCACGGTTTGGTGTATCCTCCTCCGCAAGCAAAGCAGACAAATCGACCTTTTGTTCACGCAACTCGCGAACTTTGGACGGTCCGAAGCGCGCTACATAGTCGTGCTCCGAAGTAGCATAAGGAGATGAACTTAGGTAGTCTTGACCAGCAGAAATTGGAGCAAGGTTGCCCAAAGGACGTGCAAGCGGCTGCGGATGGGACTGAACATCATGATCCTCCAAGTGTTGTGAGATGTGGCTGTGGTCGTTGGCTTCAAGTTGCCAAATATCATCATATCCGTCATCATCATCTTCCGCGCTTTCCACGGGCTCGAGCTCGGGCTTAGGTTTGGGTTGAACACCTTGGGGCATAGATGGTGCTTGTTTTGGCATGGTATCGGGTGTGGAATCATTGAGCTCTTCCTCAACCCCATATCCGGTTTCAGATTGAAATTGTTGTTCACGTTCAAATTCGATGTCCCCATCATCTTCCGCCGCATCCTCATCGCTATTGATGTAAACGACGGACCGTAAGTTTGAAGCCATCTGAGCCTGACGGCTGACTGTTTCTCGCTCAAGCTGCCATTGTGCTTCCCGTTGTGTCTTTTGGTGGGAAATTGGGCTTTGCTGCATGGAGTTATTGGGATTGGAATATGACGTTTGGGTGTATTCTGTGTGCTGCTGAATCTCGTCTTCAAAGGGTTGACCATGCTCCTCCTCTTCCGATTCTTCGTCATTGAATTCGTCATAGTGGTGCTCTTCCTGTACTTCCCGTTCTTCCTCAAGACGTTCCTCCTCGAGAAGAGATGCTGCATGATCTGCTGCTATAGCCGCAGCCTCATCTTCCTCGGCGATCATTCGACGCAGAGCAAACTCCTGTCCTAGCCCCATGGCCGCTCGGAGTTCTCGCTGCGTGTCATCGTTGAAAGTACCGAAAACACCCTCCAACCGACGTCTTTTGTGACGAGCATTACTCTTGCCTGACCACTCGTCTCCTTGGGGACTAAAGAGACCTTGTAAGGCCAAGCTAAGACGAACAAGTTTAGCCAAACTGATGAAAGTCCTCTTCTTTGGAACAAGAGTAGGTTTAACTGGGGACGATGCGGCAAGGAATTCAGGGTAGGCGATCTCATTAACATGGTTGACGGATTGCCGCTCAATCGAATGTACATTTTGCTTCTCCGGCATTTGTTTGTTTTGATTTTCGTGTAACCCAGGACCCAGGGTCGAAGTGACTGGACTGGATGACTTTTGAGCACGAGAATCGCCTCGGAGGTCTTCGATCGTCCCGGGAAGCTTGCGTCTCAACCGTCCTCCAACATCCTTTGGTTTGGTTACGCCTTTCGTCATAGCGCTGGAGCCGAATCCATGCTGCTTGGCTGATGGGAGTGTATCAAGGGAAATCATAGTGAATCCTTCACTTTCCATGATGGTGTCAAATTCGTCGTACTCGTCCACCGGATCTTCAACGGCATCAGTCTCAGCATGCTGGATCTCTGTCCTTGGGGAATGATCCCCGTCAGCTTGTTGGGTTTGATTTTCTTCATCGACCAGCGAAGAAGTGGGGGTTGGAGTCGGATATGTGCGCGATTGTGGGCTAGCGGTATTGTGAGAAGAAGCCCTCGATGACAAAATTGCTCTCTCACGTGTAGGTGATGGCCTTTTAGAAGGGGTAGAGTTGATGTTCTCATCATCTAAAAAGTGGAGTTCCGTGGCTCCGATAACAGGCGTCTCCAAACTCGCTCGGCCGTAATCCCGGCGAAAATTGCCTGGATTTTCTGCGATGGGCTCTGTTGGGCCAGGAAGCTCTGCAATTGACATTTCTGAGTTTCCCCAAGAGTCATCTTCGGAGTCCACATCCCCTACGAGATTCAAGGGACTGGCATGCGCATTACTCCCAGCGAAAGAATCCGTCGGACTAAATCGCTGTTGGTCTAGGCTAACGTCGCTGCTTAGTGCATCCGTAGAGCTGGATCTTTGGTGGCCCAAACTAGCTTCACCAGCTATAGTATCCATCGGACTGTATTCATGTTGGCTGCGGCCAGGTTCATTGGCCATGGTGTTCATTGGACTGAATTGCTGGTCTTGGCTGGAATCACTATTGGGAATGATATCCATCGGACTAAAGAGATGGTCATATTCGACAGTCGGCGTTTGTTGATCATCTTGTAGCTGAAAATCCCGTGGTTTGGGTTTGGGCGTGCCCCGTGGTTGGACTCTTTTGCGTGCTTGATAGTCACCAGCTCGGAGCCCAGGAGTATGCCCCGGGCCTGGTGTATGTCCAGGGCGAGGGGTCTGGCCAGCGCCCCCGACATACGGGGACAAGATCATGTCAGAATTTTGTGGACGCCCTCGCCGCCTTAAGGGCGTCTTCTCTTTTAATGGACTCCTCTCATCTTTTAATGGTATCATTGTTGTCTTAGTCGAGGGTTTTAATCGTTTGCGCGATGGGCTACCCCGGTTCTCATCCTCTTCGTCTTGTGTCGCTTCGAGCGTGAGTCGGATGCGCCACGGGCTGACATTTCCATCCTGAAGCTTCTCCGGAGAGAGTGATCTCTGTCTACCACCATTGAGCTTGAGTGTCGGTGACCCGGGGAGTAATACATCGCTGAATTGAATCGAATGCGCGCTTTTCGCGGGACTGGGACTGATGCGCGGTCGCGGTCGCTTGGCCGGAGTTCGTGATTTCGCCATCATAGGGGACATCCAGCTTTGGCGCCCCGTGAAGGGTTTAATCGGTGATGAGATCAAGTACTGGGCATCGCCTGGAGGTCCCAGTATATCGGGAGAGGAGCTCTGGCTGCGCGGCGAGGCCGACATGGCGGACTCATGTGATGGGATCTCCGGAGGCACGCGTGCCGCCAAAGGGGTGGAAGAGCGCACTTTAAGGAATGCAACAACAAATAAGTGCGGTCACTCTCGTAACTATTCACGGGCTGACTGTATGACGCAGAAATAAGATAGAAAACGCGGGGCAGCCATAAACAAGTCTCCCGATGCGGTTACGAAAGAACGACCGTCGAGGTGATTAGGTAAGCAGCTCCCAAACAAACACCGAGTCTATTTTCGGACACTCGTGAACTTCTCGTTCTTCGCTCTTCGTATCTTGAAACGTGCGGAGAGATATGACAAGGGGCAAATTTGTTCGGCTTGCCATCGTCTCAATTGTCTACAAATTTCCATCGGTATCATCCACACTGTGTACTGGCTTCAACCTCACGCCGCAAGCTTCAACTACCACACTCTGGTACCATTTGCACATATTCCTTGTAAATCTCTAACCGCCTTGTTCCCCGTTTATGCCAATATACCACCCGTGGCATCTCCGGACCCATGACAGCCGGGATAGTCACGGAGTCAGTCTTCACAATGGTCACCAGGAGCCCTAGGAATGGTATGCCCCTGTCTCGGCCACGCTGTTCGTTTGCTGGCGAGGCAGGATGGGAGTCTCTGAGGGGGATGCTGGATGTTCAAAAGAGGTTTCAAGGAAGTTTCGTGATGGGCTTTCGCGACTATATCGTATGATTTTACTTTTTGAAGCCTCCGATTCTCTTTTATTAGGTTGAATACTACCTTACATGTAGCCTGGTGGGATCGTGCAGGCGTAGCACGCGGCGATAGCGGCATGCCTCAACTCAACCTCAACATAAGGTGATTATCACTTTGTGTCAGAGCACAATGTTCCCGACGTGACATTTAGCCGACTATCCGATTACCCCTATATCCATTCTTTCGTATCGTAAAAAGACAAAGAAAAAAGCACAGCCGAACTCTAGTTGGCAATTGTCTTCACGTTATTTTCGTTACTGACTTTGGCCACTTTGGTCGCAACGGCCACAAATGGGAGCTTCTGCTATGTACTATGTATTATGTGCAACATCCATAGTACACGCTTCTTTACTGCTCTCTCGCACCAATCTATCTGCCGAAAACGCCCCAGTCACCTTGTCCCCAAGTAGTCTTCAGCGTCCAGTGCTTCATCTTCCACAGTCCGTCTCCGGCATTTCTTTCTAACTCGACCGCGTACAATCCACCAGCAAGCAGGAAGTCGGAGCCGGGCTTCATGCCCTCTCCACCGCGATAGTGTTGAGAAAGAGCAGAGCATGCTACCTGAGCCCTTGATTCTTCGGTAGTGTTGATACGCGTTGGTGAGGAAGTGGTTGGTGTCCATTTTGGCGATGTTGGCGTAGCATTGGCTGTAGATAGCGTCGTAGCCTTCCATGACGGTACCATTAAGTACCAATACGGCGTCATCAGTCAAGGCAGATTTGAAGAGAACATCATCAGCTGTGTCAAAGGCGACAACGCCGCGGTAGAGGGCGTCAGCGACGGCATCACGATCACTGAGGGCAGGCGTGGGGGATACTGGGAGTGTGGCTGCGGCCATGATGGGTATCTTGCATACAATGTGTGCTGGATTGGAGGGAGATTATACAGTCTTTTTGGCTTCGTGTTGTTTTAATGCGGTTATAGCATAGCAATGGATTGAACCTTTAAAGGAATTAAGTCACTTACACCAAGCTGGAAATCTCGCGCTTCATGCCATCAAATTGAGACACGTTACCTACATAGGCAACATTCGGTCTCTTTCCAAGGTTATCTCCGGCAGATGGGGTTAACGGAGTTACGGGGGCGCTCGGCGCAAACGGGGCCCGAGGATGTTTGGTTTGCGGGGAGTCGCGGATGGTTCAAGGTTAGCGGGTCGGCCCACACAACCGGGACCCGTTCCCGCTCAGCCTCAGCTTAGCAGTGCGTTTAACCTTGGAACAACGCTGTACATCGCGATCCACGCGAAAGTCTGCCGTATATCCTTCATCTGCAAGAGTTTGAAATTCGGCCGCTTCTGGAGCTTTGTGGCGTCATTTTGGCTTTTCTTTGCTGATGTCTTTTTACCTATTTGAAAGCGGCGAAAAAAGTAAACTTTGTGAAAGTGACTTTTCTACCCGAAAATGCATCCTAGCTGCGACGGCCCGTTGGCCTAATAACGGAAACTTGGTAGGGCTGAATAGTTTATGAAAAGCCTTCGATTCCCCAAGCTTTATTTCCTGCCCCATTTTTCCATTTACCTCTCCACTCTACCCTTTGCCCACCATGGTTGACCCCGAGATCTTCACAAAGTACCCGTCCCTCAAAAAGATGCAAGGCCTGAATGACGAAGATATTTTTGAATCACACGATGGCCGCGAGTTGACCCTGCTCAGATACATCTACAACCACCCTGACCTCGACCCCAAACTGCGGGGTTCCCCATCCGCCATCCTGGGTGCCCTGGACGAGTTCGCCTCCTAAGAGGAGTTTCTTATCAACATTTGCTCCAACAAAGCTGAGAAAATAACTGGCGTGATCTATGATTACTACCCCCGCGTAGTGGTGGAGCTGGGCGGTTATGTCGGTTACGTGGTAGATTCCACGGTCACAATGATCCACTGGAGATTGCTGACCATGTATGCATGATCTAGATAGATGAGGCGCTCTGCGAGTCGGATGCGAAGCTGGCCGAGAAATTGGAATTCCTGAACAAGGAAGGCACGGTTGTGGTTGCTGACAATGTTGTAAGGCCCGGTGCGCCGGAATATCGGCGCTACATGCAGAGTAACCCGCGTCTGAGCGAGAGCTGGGGATTGCCTAGTTTGATTATCCCGGTCGGCTTTGAGGTTAGTTGCCCGACCACAGACCAGTTGGAACTGTGCCCGGAAGGCGCGATCTGTCCTTTCACTTTGAGACATTCCACTGATTATTTTGACCTTAGGATGAGTTGGAGATTAGTGTGGTTGGCGCGTGAGAGAGGCGGGCCTGAAGCCTACGTCGACAGAACCTAGTCAAGCTACGGAGGGGAACGGAGTGCGAAGGAATGGAGGCGAGAATTTAATTAAGAATTAAGGGATACCTGATCGGAAGAGGGAAAGCAACTCTATTCTACTTGATGGACACCCCTTGCACTTAGTTGTAGATGATTAGAAATCCAACCACGAATTCCACAGCCTACAATATCATAAACTTAGCAGAAAAGTGGGATCACATAGGAGGAAAGAACAAAATAACGTGGGAAAAGCCCTCAACCATCAGCTTCTCGAAGGTTGTAGTTCTAAAGCGAATGTGGATCCTTACAGGTTATCATCCGACAGTTTCATTTGCGCTCTTTCCCTGTTCCACTCCATATTCAGAACATGACACAAATGTAGTTTGTCTCCTGCAGTTACTTCCTGTGCAAGCATTCAACACACCTTTTCTTACAAATCTTCCTGGATGAAATGTACAATTGACACAACACAGGGAAGGTGGGCGTTTGGCACTAGCCACGAGAGCTTCAAGAACGGATCCCTCTCAGATTTGTCACGTCCACATATTCATCTTCCTACCTGCGCAAACTGACGATTATACTCAGAAGAAAAAAGCAAACGGTTCAAGCAATCTTTGGCGCAGTAAATCTAGTATAGCCCTTAGGCGACTGCGAAAAAGACCCGTTCGTCTGATGTCAGCTGCGGGGAAGGTGGGCCCGGTGGGACATTGCCGACGGGCTTTTTAGACAGCCTATCATGCACGGGCTTTATCCTTTGGTTGTATGTTGTAGAGTCGTCTGTCGGTAAGGATCCATTCACCGATATCTACTGTCTTACCTATTTTCTCAGATCCAGCTTAGACCTGATAGGACACCCAAAAGCAATTCCTCATCGGAATACTTGTTCAACAATGCCTACAACGCCATGGTAAACGTTACAGCCCATACCTTCTTTACCGGTACTGGCTTTCAGTTAGCTCAGATTGAAGTTTGCGGTGTATTTTTTTAGAGCGAATTTAGATATCCACAATGAAGCCGGGGTACGCTGTCACACTTGAGCCCTTGGGACATATTCATGTTCCGTCGGCCGCCCCAAAGTCCCTTGTTCCAAATGCCACTCCAGCGATATTTGCGAGCGGTTCGCGATGTAACATCTCTATGTAAGCCCATCTGCGTTGAAGCTGATGTGGGTTATACCAACGCCATCCAGGATTTGTGGACACCCTTTGCACGTACGGGGAACCCAAACATTGACCAGTCATACTTAGCAGTCGGGGGGGGTATAACTTCACTTTGGAATTCATCGTCGATTTTGTCTGGCCTTCTTGAGATACTATCACTTCCCAGATAGCCTCACAACAGTTCCCAAATCTGGCAATCACAGAACTACCAGACCACAAGCGCATCGCGGTACTAACGTCGCTATTCTTAGGGCTAAACTACGGTAGAAATTCGATTGGGATGTTGTAGCGAAGTGATGCAAGGGCTATAAGGGTTGAAAATATAATGTTACTTCCATCGTCCGTACCGTAATACGTTGAAACCAGCACGCACTGCTATATACAGTCAGCCGGGCAATGGCCGCCTACAAAGTTTTGAATGGTGTTTTATTTGGCCTTAAACTAGCTCTTTTCCTTGTCAGTTAAGGTATAACTGCCCTGAAAGGGTCCAGCTTTGGTGGCCAGATGAGTGGATCGGTGCCGGACCAGTGGCGAATTGTGCTGACCTATTTTTTATTTCCGATGCTAATTCAAAGATCAATCATTAGGGATTGTAGGCAATATTTCAACCAATCGGAAATCTTGAAATGAATCCTAAATCGTTCGGGTTGATCTTAAGGTTGGGATGAAGTTGGGAGGATTCCCGGAACATATGTACCGGATAATGCCTGGCGCTTGAGACTTTTCCCTTTCCATTTTAGTGCTCACCTCTTGCCGCTTTTTGCTCTCAGAGTAAAATTGAGCACGCCTCCGAGCGCCCTGATCCGCTCACTGAGTATTACATAATCACACTGATCTGCTCACTGAGCATCACCTGATGGTCACCTGAGCACCCTAGATCTACTCACTGAGCATGGGCTGAGCGTAAATATGAGCGGCCTGAGCTACATCAATAAAATGCAACACGCTAGTCACATCACGTGCGGCTTTTCTCTAGATCACCCCCATTGTCCCATCAAAAAAAAAATTGCGTCGTCAATGCGACCGTACGCTCTAGACCTGTCGACCTCCCACTTCCAGCTTTGCTCCCAGGATCATTTCATTAATTTGCCCCACAATGACCCTTCGGGCTTGAACCTCCGGTAGGACGATGGCGAGTTTGCGAATCTACTCGAGAGGTCTACAATATTGTCATGTAACAAAACAAACTGAGGGATTTCATGTTCAGTACAGCAACGAGATGGATCAGTTTGGTACTTCCTCTTTCCAACGAGTGCACAAATGAGAAGGCCTTTCCGAGCATATACTGTCAATTCTTTTTCGCTTTTGTTGAATGAGGTTGATTGACCACCACACGCTCCCAGGAGCCTACTAGAATACCAGGTATGAGCCTCACAGGCAATTTTCTCAGCCAATCATGTACTTTGAGCTAGAGTTGGAACTCAGGACTCCCAGGAGCACCCACACCTACCCGTCTCATAATTCAGCGTGAAGTGATATCACCGCAAAGGGGTTATATATTGAGGCACTCCTCCTGGAATAAGAATTTCAACATCCTTCTGTCGTGTGTACTTAAGCAGAGTAAAGCTCTGCCTTGAGCATCTCACCATGAGTTCGATCTTCGCACCCCTTTGGCTTCCTTGGTCCATACTAACTGATCGTACTTAGAGAGAGTCAGTCCTACCTTTTGCGACCTCGAACCGGTCATTATCATAACTTTCACCACCCGGGTCACACAGCGAAGCATTTCCACCCATCGGGAAGCTCCCTAGGGCACTGAATATACATCCGGCGCTTCCAGCTTGAAAGGGCTGTACCGTCGTTTGTTGTCCGCCATTCATACTGCCTTGAAGAGATTGGCATCACCATGAAGTCAACCAGAGCCCAGCAGGCTCAATAGTGAATCACGACATCATCCTCCGCGAGAATGCTGGCGTTGGGTCCTGGAACACCCACGAAAAGATTACTTCCTATCTGACTGACGGTATTATGCGCAAGTTGGACGGTAATACTCTTGATTATCTCTTCTTCGGTGGCATGGCAGTGCGTTTATTACCGCACCTATGGGAAAGCACCGCCAGATACAACGATGGAGAACCCCGATTCGTGCGTAAATACTGAGCCCTTTAGCACGCAACGCCCCCCCCCCCCCTCCTCTCCTCGAATAACGACCGGCTGACTAATTTTATTCACCAGCAATGGTTTCTGACCAGAAGACAAACGCAGGGTTAGCTGTGGAGAGTGAGATCTTGCCAAAAATCGTTGAAAGTAAAGAAAATGCAATATCAAGTCTGACATGGAAAGCTCGCTTTTGGGACAACATCATCACGGCAAGCCTCCAATTGTGGACTGATCATTTCCTTACCCTTTGGCTCCTGGAATCTATACTGTACGGAAAATATACGTCAGTCAGCATTATTAAATGCCTACGAAGATTGGCAGTCTTTGCTCTATGACATAGTCCCACTCTTTCTTGCTTTTTCTTGCAGAAACTTGCCGGACCTTGTCAATCGGCACAAGTTTATCTTTTATTGCAAGCCACCGCATCTGCAGATTTCTTTTACCAAATTGGGACGTGTACGCCCCATACAGCTTTGGATTTTTCATAAAAATGAAAGTTCCATATTTGCAGCGTGAAGATGTTTCCAACTCTCCCCCCAGTCCAAATCGCTGATGCCAATTTCATCACTCTTTAGATTTACATTACTGTATAGGATAACAATGCAGCAAGAAAAGCGAGGTCTCACCAGAATTTCGAGACCATCTTTCACAACAATTCGACCGTCATGTCTTTTGGTAATTTCAGGAGTGACCTACTCAACTACAATCGAACGAGAGAACCCTGCATTTGTCAGACAAATGGCTCTAAGCGCAAGCGTGTACTATGAGTTCGAAGACCAAAAAAGACGCATATCTGTCTACGTGCTTGAATAATTACTTTGCTTTGGCCAGAGAACAGCCGCGAATCCCCAGTCCATGGCATCAGGCCATGGCATCTCTCGATCCCGGAAGATTACTTGCGACCGAGGTGACCATCATTGCCATTCCAATGAGGTTCTTCGCAAAGACCGGGACGTGTTTGATTGAGCAATGAACGCCCGTACTCGATGCGAAATGTGGTAATCCACCGATAGTCGAAATCAAAACCGGCTCAAGTACTTCGTTACTATACTGTAATTCGATATCATTTTCGCGCTTCGTCATGGCTGCTTTGGGGCGTAAGGGGAACACGGCATCGGTATCTCTCTCTCTGTAAGGTTATTACAAGTTGAAATAGGCCAGCACAGCCACCGTTTTAATACAGACAAGCCACAGTGGACTTTATTTTTATTTTTTTTTGATACATGAAACAAGGTCAGTTCGGTAACATAACTGCATTATACAACGGTATTTGCCTAGGCCCTTGTCTTATTTGGTATGAAATATTCAGTCATATGCTAAATGACCATTTTCTAAACAATAATGGTTCAAGCCTACGCAGGCTTAGACACGTCTTTTTCGCAATTGAGCTGTACTGTAATGATTATTGGCCACAAAATAAAAAGGCAACCTGATGTGATGCAATTTCATTGACGCGGTTTCATATGGAGGGTATGTATCCACAATAATCTCCATTGTTTTTCATGCAGACCAACAGGGACAAAGTTGATTCTCGAAACCTGGATTTGGTGTTTCCTCAAATACTTGAGATCAATGATGATGTTTGCTAACAGTCTGTCGATCAGACAAAATGGCAGAAACGCTCCTAGTTACATTTTGATTCCACCCTACGGCTCGTGTAAATATTATTATTCTCTTTTTAGCTAACATGGATCCGAGTCATTCGCAAAAGCACGCCAATCCGCGCGGAAAAGTCAGTATACGTCCAAGTGGTTACCCATCAATTCTATGAAGTACTAGCGGACGAATCTACAGCAGAACAGTGAAGCTAAAGGTCTATCCGAAGGCTGTCTTTACAAATGGAGATATTGGCTCGTACTCTCATCCCACGGATAATGTCCAGACAAATCATAAGCGATCAACTCATGATAGGCTCGGTATGAGGCAAAGCGCTAGTCTATCAAGGCCAATTTCAGTATGGAGGAGAGTTTTTTTGGACGTTATTGGGACATCTGCCCTCGCTTCGACCATTCATCACTTCTCCACTCACGTCCTTTTTTATTCTTAACCGACTGTTCTTAATTGACTGTGCTCGACCATTTGTTCTTAACCGTTTGTTCTTAACCGTTTGTTCTTAACCGTTTGTTCTTAACCGTTTGTTCTTAACCGTTTGTTTTTAAATTTCTGGCTACACATAAGGCCGTGAGACGATCCGACGCAGTTTGATGAAATATTCGGGTTCCTTGTCACATAAATGGCATTGTTTTTTGCTTTCGCTTGGGGTTCCCCGGCTTGCATTCCCTGCGAAGTAGCTTGATTTGAATAGGCCGACGGAGCATGGACATAATTGCTCTCAGAGACCCAGTTTGAGGTTGGAGTGATCAGCAAACTAGCCACGGACAGATTATACGACTTTTCTGGGTACAAAACAACACCAGAGCCTTCCGTGGCATCGTGAATATCCTCAACTCCGAGTCCTGTTGGTTGCAACTTGCTTTGAATGCCGATTTTTGATTCCACGGTATCGGTCACAACCAAGCTATGGAGGCAGCATGTGCCACTGAGCTTTTGTGAATCTTGATATACAAGTCCGCTGCTGTCCAGCTCATTGTCGGCTTTGGCATAGGTTGTTGTAGGCTTGATCGTTTCTGTACTTCCGGTGTCCGACCAGTCAGAAAGGAAACTGTGTGTTGCTGTCTCTGAATGAGGCAATGGAAGCGACGAGACCTTGTCGAGCCTATGGTCTATTGGGCCAAAACGTAGAGCTGTCGACGGTAAGATATTTGATGTTAGATGACGCCATTCTTCCCCCATGGCACATGAGTTTCGGGTGCAGTGGCTGGGCCAGAAAATGTTTTTAATTGTTGGCTATAGCAAATATGTTAGCAACAAGCTCAAACTTATCCAATCAAAATCAAACAGACCTCGATAGGCTACTTCCTTGGGTATAGGTTGTTGGAGCACTAACAATATTGCCTCCTAGCATTGTCAGGCTAATGCATTTATGCCGTCAATTGCGGGCTTTGCAATGTTAATTTGTAAAACTTCAGGAAGCATGCCAATGGAGAATAAGTTTCGCAAAAAAAAAAACGTCGAAACATGGGTTAATAGGTGATTTAAGGCAAACTTCATAGGGCTATTGTGGTGCTCACTTTGAACGATTTTGCTTAGCTTGAAAAATGGCTCCATTGAATCTTGAGTGTTCTGATTTTGACTTCTGAAAGCCTTTAAGTAAGTTTTCATCTGTTTGAATCAATTAATGGATGCCCAGAGAAAGGCTGGGTCTTCGATGAACATTATACCTGGCGCAGTAATAATTTGCGATGAGGGGCTTTGTTCCTGTTCAGCACTTACCTCATGTTGCAACAAATCATGAAACTGCATCTAATTGTGATTTTGAACGGCAAGACGTCTCTTTGAAAGGGGTAGGCAATTTTTCTCAATATCCTTAGATGTGTCAGAATGTTGAGGGCCATTACTTTGTGAAGCTTTGGGGAAGCTCTTGGTTGTCGCAGGGAATTTCCCGTACTTGACTTAGGCCTTCAGCTATAAAGGCCTCGTCAGAGTGGTAATCTAGATCTGTGCCCTTTGCATATAATTCTGCTAGAGAAAGCGGCAGGAACCATGCTTTCAATGCCGGTCGTTTTGTTGGTCCTAACATTGGTCTTTTCTTTGGTGAGTAGCTTCCATTCAGCCACTGGGCCTAGTATTTAAGTCACCCTCTGTAGGCCTGCGGTCTCGCCATTCGACCTGCTGGAGAAAAGAACATTGTTAGTTGCCTTGAAGAATGGTTGCTACGATGGCCTTTAAAGACCGACCTAATCAACTTGAAGGTACTTTCATTGAGCACCCACTTTGGTGAATTCTCTGGTGTAAGTCATGGTATGTCCCACCAAGGCCCTGCATTGAATCGTCTTATTGAACAGCCCTTGCCATTCTGCAGTCTAAGCGAAACCACATTTCACATAGACAACACCACAAACCACATTAACTGGAACACTGATCATGAGTTACGGACCGCACCAACGTGCCTTTGCTCTGGAAAACCAGAGCATTGCACTTCATATTTTATCTGCCGAGAAAATTGTGGAGGTTTGTGTCGGACTGAGGGGTGGTATTTTATCACCAAAGACAGGGTTATTCATCAAGTACCCATACACTCTTTGGGGTATGTGGCTGGACGCAAGAATGATCTAATCGGTTGGAAATCCAAAGCCGAGCAAAACATGAGTCCAGACTAGACATGAAAATCAAACCAAGATGGCAGGTGAAAGGAGCCAGAATCAAGGACAGATGCAATCATCCACGCGACAACTCGAGAAAGTTATATTGACCTTCTACGACGTTCGTGATAAACATCTAGGGACTCTAGTATACTAGTTCAATGATGAGTCCAGTGTCTGAAAATTGACGTAAATCAGAACTATAATTCGAACAAATTGTATCGATATTGCCACAACTTAAATTTGACAAAGCTCGATCAGGGGGGAACCTACAGAGATTTGTTTTCGATGGCCTACTTTTCCCAGTAGCTGTTGGAAAAATATGCGGATATCGGACAGACCTAGTTAAGGCTCAACCACGGGCAAATACCATCACAAACAATTTTAGGATCCATAAATAAGTGGTTATCGGTCTCCATTGTGACGTACCAAGCTTTATAACGCCGAAGTTTGAGCCTCGCCTGATTGTCTATTCTTAATTTGACCTTTTACTCATCAACAGTCAGAACCCCAAGCTGTTGCACAATAGTTGTCAAAGAGTGTACCTTGTGATTACTTTCATCATTTATTCTTTGTCGTCAAGCAAGAAATGAGCGGATGCATAAGAACTTCCGGGACACTGAGACGGCTTGCGTTATCGACAGGTCAAGAAAAAAAGCAAATCTAATAAAGAATCCGACATGTGCTCTTAATACTCAGTTATATTTCCGCTTTTCTGTGGTATTTCTCGTCTTTGGCGAATACCCTTCCTAGAAGCATTTTTTATGGTGAGACTTACGGCCCTATTTCATGCGTATAGGTAGCAACTCCGGCGCACAAAATGGCTCGCGCGAGCATGACGAGATCATCAGTGGGTCGATAGCTCGAAGCAAAAAGAGGGTGCCATCAGTTTGTCAGCAATGTTTGGCGGAAATACTATGGCAGTTTATTGCTGCTTTACCACTCTCAGGGATGCTAGCGACTTTGTTGAGGCTGCAGATAAGAAGCCGAAAGTATCTGAGCCAACTGGCCACCGGTTCAAATCGTCGACTCCCGCAACCCCTGCGTCTTTTTCGTATTTTTGCATAAGCTCCATAGTTATTGCGGGAAGAGCTTTGAGGTATTTGGTTTGAGACTCATTTGGCGAACACTCCGAGCACTGATCCAAACAAGCTACGGTTGACATGTCAGCGGCGCATTTACTCATAAAAGCCTAGGACCAACCAATCTTTATTCTTCCATCTATGCCGAGTAGGATTTCACGACACGACAAAGATTGATACGAGAGCCCAAAACTACCGAGATAGCATAGGCCATCGAGAATCTTGGCTGTTGTTATTCCGGTGAAAAGGGACACGAAGGCACGTACGTACCTGCGACATTATTGCAGCCATTTCTACCTCCGTAGGATATATGCCCGGGGCAGAAACAAGGTTCCCCAATGTGAGCGGAAAATCATCGACTAAAGCATACAAATGGTTTGAGTCTATGTAACAGTCCCGAGATGACAGAATATTGGCGTGTCGAAGGCAATTAAATCGTTGAATCAGATTTTCGGCGCCAGACTTAGGGTATTCTCGAACAGCTTGCACCCGTGATGGATTGGAACGCTGAGTCGCTATGATCACTTCACCCGCAATGTCGCATTTTAGGACTGGCTTATACTTATTCCATGGTGACTGTTGCCTTATAAGTAGCACTGAATAGTCCTCATTCAACTTACAGAGCTGGGGGAGATGTAAGGCTTTGGGGGGGCCATTGATTGTCCTTTTTGTATGTTGACGGGGTGTGGGGTCTTCTCTCTTCCCCGAGTCCCTCAAATTAAAAGGAAGCATGGCTTGTTGGTAAGAAACCAAAATTGCATTTCAGCAGCAAGTGGGGGGGGGGGGGGGTTGGTAGCTTTAAGTAAAATTTCAGTAAGCGAAAACATGAGGACATTTTGACATCGCCCTTACCATCGTTATGTCCTCTAAGGCAGAGCATCTGGCCGTATATCTTGAGTATGACCGCAGATCACAGATTTATGAGGGCCGAAATAAGTTGTATTCCCGCGCAGTCCGTTCAATTACCATGTTCTCCTTCTGCACGTCGGCCTTGCAGGTCTAAGGCATCTTTCCGACACAAGCCGCCCCAAGAAAAGATGGAAGAATTCATTCAATTCTACCGTAGTTTCGCATGCATAGAATATTGATACTGAGTCTCAGATCTTGTTTTGCCAAACAAGTAAATTAGGGTGTGGTGTTTCGCGTGGGGACATGGTACATCTGTAACATGGATTGCCTGACATTCCCAACGGTTCAACAATTTCTTGCTGGGAGCAACACAACTGACGATGCATTCGTTTCCTATGATTCAAAGAGATCGTTCTTTGTGTTAAATAAGGTCTTTGGATCCAAGGTCCGTAATTTCAAAAATTTTCACATTCTCACATCAATTCATTCTCAGAATCTCAGCATCTTGACCTACGATTTGCAAATCCACTACAAAAATGGCCAAACCTGAGCCGAGTAGTGGGAAACAGCATATTAGCGAGAAGCCTGTGACCCTCAATAACTGGTACCAGCATGTCAACTGGGTCAACACAACTCTGATCCTGATCGTGCCCGTCGGTGGCCTCGTGGCTGCATTTTATACACCGCTGAGGGCAATCACTGCTGCTTGGGCATTTGTCTACTACTTCTGGACAGGACTGGGTGTGACTGCCGGCTACCATCGTCTATGGGCACACAGATCGTACGAAGCGTAAGTCTACCCACTGCCTCCCCTCCTGCTTGGCTTCGAATTAAGCACCGACAATTGACATCCCCAGTTGTCTTCCAATTCGAATCTTCCTCGCATGTGCCGGCGGTGGGGCTGTCCAGGGCTCAATCCGGTGGTGGAGCAGTAAACACAGGGCACACCACCGATGGACCGACACAGTCAAGGACCCATATAGTGTCATGAAGGGTCTTTGGTATTCACATTTCATGTGGATGGTTCTGAATCAGAACCCAAAACACCGTGGTAGGACCGATATTTCAGACTTGAATGAGGATCCCGTCGTCGTCTGGCAGCACAGGAACTATGGATCCGTCATCTTGGTGTTCGGCATGTTGTTCCCTATGCTCGTTGCTGGCCTGGGATGGGGTGATTGGAAGGGGGGTCTTGTCTATGCTGGAATTCTTCGGTTTTCATTCGTGCAGCAAGCCACATTCTGTGTCAATTCTCTCGCTCATTGGTTGGGTGAGCAGGTGAGTCCATTTCCACATTCTAATTTTCCGATTCCCGCTCATTCTGACACGCATTAGCCATTCGATGACAGGAACTCACCTCGTGATCACGTTGTTACTGCTTTGATAACTCTCGGTGAAGGTTACCACAACTTCCACCACGAGGTAAGAAGATTCTCCCCTTTCATGTACTTCATAACCACTAAACCTTGACCAGTTCCCCTCTGACTACCGCAACGCTATTGAATGGTGGCAGTACGATCCGACGAAGTGGTCAATCTGGGTGTGGAAACAGCTTGGTCTGGCTACCAATCTCAAGCAGTTCCGAGCCAACGAAATTGAAAAGGGCCGTGTGCAACAACTACAGAAGAAGCTCGACCAGAAGCGTTCCAAACTAGATTGGGGTGTTCCCCTGGACCAGCTGCCTGTTGTGGACTGGGATGATTTCATTGCAGAGGCTCAGAGTGGCAAGGCTCTGGTTGCCATTGCTGGTGTTGTTCACGATGTGAGCACATTTATCACGGAGCACCCTGGTGGTAAAACGCTCATTTCATCGGCGATCGGGAAGGACGCTACTGCCATTTTCAACGGTGGTGTCTACACTCACTCCAACGCCGCCCACAACCTCCTTTCTTCAATGAGAGTTGGGGTGATTCGCGGTGGTGGTGAGGTGGAGATTTGGCGTCACCAAAACTACCAAAAAGGTGTTTATGTTTAAGCTTTGGCGGAGTTATTAGAGATGGTGGTCTTTTATTTTTTTTTTACGAGAATATGAATATCTGTTTTGACCACAGAACTTAACTTGGAAGTAGCCCCATGGAGCCCAGCAGTCAATTGGGCTTCTTGACGTAGCCTTAAAAGGAAGGCAGTCGCAGGTGAACCTTTTAATAACATCAAAGGATGCGCTGCAAGTCCCGACACTTACCTGACGCTATGCAGATCTCATCGTCGCGTTGTTGCATGGGGTGAGAATCGATGCCGCCCGGCAGTTTGTACGCGACATCCCCCTTCCCTTCACCCAAAACCAGCCAGGCTCCTAGGGAAGCGACTATGGCCTTACACCATTATCAGTCTTCTTTGAAGAGAATTTAGGAGTCCACGACACCCTCTCCGCTAACATTGCAATGGCGTGAGTCGGCAAATCACGTTGTGAATGAGCTTTTGCGACACTATGGCCCCTCTTCATTTTTGGGGAATTTGTTTTTCCACTTTATGCCTACAACATACCGATCTTATACTGGGCCACAAACTCGCCATCGATCAAGTGTGTGCAGATGTCATTTGGGTTATCGGAACAATTTCTTAGATATTCCTTATACTCGCTGGGGGGTTCACGCACCAGTTAGCTCTTTTGCTGGCAATACTTCCTTTTCTCTTGCCTCCCTCCCTCGCTCTCCCCTTGTCTCACTATGTGCTGGGGAATATATCGAATGACTGCCAATGTGCTTTTTCTCGCTGTAAGTTTTCATCCATCATGTCCTTGATAATGAATCTAATCTGACTTTCAATTGGATTGTTCTATTCACGTCATTCTGGGTCCTTGCTGGTTCTCGCGAGAAATGGAGGGACACGAGCATCAATGGCCCAATCGCAAAAAATCCATCGATGGCAATGGCACCTCAATATCAAATCAAAACAGCCGAAATTTGGTCCAACCTTAGAATCTCAGAAGGCTCCTTCCAAAGATTACCTCGGAACTTACCCAATTGGGAGAGATCCACCGGACAAATGTAGCTGACTAAGGACCTGACTAAGGACCTCGAGGCGGTAAAAGCTGTGCTCCGTACTCCACCGGAGTTTTGCCGTTCGGTCGATTTTGTTCCGGTGGCAGAACGCCTCTTGAGCTTGACTGGAGACCCGCAAGTTACCTTCCAAGTCACGCCCGAATAGGGGCTCGGATCTCCCCCCTCATTCTCCTGCGTTCGCATTGTCTAATAGGCCAATGATAGACCTGAATGTCAATTACACCACCTGCATTCGGATAAATTCTGGTCTTACCAACGCCTTTTTACCCCGGTTTCCGTCCACTGCCCCCGCCCCCCCTAGCGTCAGAGCCATGCGGAGGTAGTTTGGCGCAACTTGGGGAACGTTAATCGCGATCCGAACGGAACTTCTCATAAAATGCCTATACCCCTTGGTAGGCTCCGTTCATTAGTTTGCCCTTTCCGTATCGCCCTTCGTTATCTTCTCCTCTTCTGTATTTTGTTTCTCTCGGTTACAATTCTCCTGGGACTCAAAATGCATCTCAAGTCTTATGTGACAGCCGTCCTATACGGGCTACCCGTCCTGGCCAATGCTGTCCCACCACCATCTCTCTCACCATCTACTGCGGGCTCAGATGCCGATCACTTCAAAAGCTATACGATCAAGGCAGAAAACATCACTGCCACACTGATTCCGTACGGAGCGCGTCTCACGTCCTTGCTAGTTCCAGATCGCGACGGCAACGTCCAAGATGTGGTCGTTGGCTACGATGACCCTAAAGAATATCTGCATGATAGTGAGACCAATCGCACGTTCTTTGGCGCGGTTGTCGGTCGCTATGCCAACCGTATCAAGAATGGTTCCTTCACCATTGATGACAAGAATTATCACGTTCCTGAGAATGAAAATGATGGCGTGGACACCCTCCACGGTGGTTTCATCGGATACGACATGCGCAACTGGACAATCACTTCACATAGCGATTCCTCTATCACCTTCACCTTGCTCGATCAAGGCTTTGAGAAGTTCCCAGGAGATGTCATTACTCATGCTACTTTCAGCGTGTCCGCCGAGAAAACTCAATCCAATCCCAAGGGACTTCCCCAGTTGACCTCAAAGCTGGTGGCTCTCTCTCTGACCGAAAAGACCCCCATCATGCTGGCCAACCACATCTACTGGAACCTGAACGCGTTCAAAGAATCCGACGTGTTGAAGGACACCACCCTACAGCTTCCCCTCTCACGGCGGTTCATCGGTGGAGATAGCATCTTAATCCCGAACGGCACCATCCACGACGTTGAAGACACCTACCAAGGAGCTCTGGACTTCACCAGCCCCAAACTAATCGGCAAGGACATCGAGAAGACCTACGACCTCTGCGGCGCCGGCTGTACAGGCTATGATACATGTTTCCTCGTCGACCGGCCCTCAACATACGCGTCGAACTCGCTGGTCATGGCCCTGAGCGCCTCATCCAGCTCCACCGGTATCAGCCTCGACGTCGCTACCAACCAGGCCGCACTGCAGATCTACACCTGCAGCGGGCAGAATGGCTCCATCGCCACCAAGAAGTCGCAGGCGAAGCGCAACGAGGCTAATGGTGACGCCGGTGCAACCCACGTTAATAAGTATGGATGCTTCGTCATCGAGACCGAGGACTGGATCGATGGTATAAATAACCCTGAGTGGGGTCGTGTTCCCTACCAGGTATTTGGTCCTGATGATGGGCCCGCCGTTAACTGGGCTACGTACCAGTTTGGCACTATCTAGGTTTCACAATTCTATAGTACAGTATGCTGCCCATTTGAAGTGTGTTATCTACGTGCATATTTCCAAGTTTTGTTGTACGCGCAGCCTTTGTCTTGGAATTCATTTCCTTGATATGTACGAATCAGAGCCATCTATGGCTAATCGAATCACAGAGCGTGATGCTAAAAATAGTTAGGATGAACATTGGACTTTTGTACCACCTGTGCAGCAAACAATATACATCTACAACTTCGAAAAAATACCACCTTCATTGTCCCCCCTATCTCCTTGACAATCTCATCTTCCAAATTATCCGGATTGAAAGTAGTCCGATTCAGCGGACTCAACTGTTAACCGCGAATAAATAGATCCTCATAGAAACGACCATGAAACCGGCCCAGCGCAGTATAACAAAGTCAGTCACACTTTTCCTGTATCAAAATGTCTCGAACGACTTAATAGCCACTCGTTTATCCAATAAGTAATCAGGAATCATCCACGAATCGACCAATCTCATGGCATGTGGTCGGATGCGTGCTATATGCTCTAGAACTAGACTGGTTCGGCCATCCAGATCTGCTTGGGAGACGGCGTTGGTATGCATTAGGTTGTGGGTATTATTAATGTTGGGTTTCTCGTTTGTGGCGGGGCTTTTGTTCTCCATGCTCTATAATGCGAACTGGCGGGATCAGTCCCGTGGGACGGTTACGATGACAAACAGAGACATAAAACTCTCCGTTGGGAGGATGTTCTACCTGGTCCAGAAATCTTTCAATTTAGTAGACTTCAAATAATCTCATAATCTCATAATATCGTGGTACATCGTGGTACTGCTGATCCGCACGATAGAAATCTGATTTACGCTTCGACTTTTGAGTTCACACAATTAGATAACTATGTGCTAATTTTTCTGATGACAAACGAATCTTCCAGTGTTGAACAGAAACACTCGAGGGTCGTACTTGTGGGTCTTGATCACATACATATATATGGTTCCAATAACGAAGCACGGGAGATGTCAAATGTTACCGCGCAGAAGTATAGTTTTGAGCAGCAGTATTTGCAAACCCATGAATGAATGTAGTCTCTAGTTTGGCAGTGTTTGCAAATATTTAGCCCGAAAGTCTATAACAACTGCAAGCATGAAGGCAACGTAAAAAACGAAAGGCCCGAAGCGCGATTCGAACACGCGGCCTCTCCGAACTTGAGCTGTGGACCCAAACGGAGAATCATACCACTAGACCATCCGGGCAGAAGATGTATTAATAAGACTTGGCACATGTTGTGACTAGCTTTGATCATCACTCCAGTTGTTCTATTATCACTCATTAAACTCACTTGTAATTGTATGTTGTATGAAAGTTCGCAATGTCTTGGGTACGGCTGTTCCACGTGTTCTAGCCTGGAGCTCGAAAGCAGGCGAGAACGCTGTTGGTGCCGAATATATCATCATGGAAAAGGTTGCAGGTGTCCAGCTAAGTCATGCCTGGTACAATATGGACATCGAAGATAGATTTGAAATTGTGAAAGCAATCTCAGGATACCAAAAATCTTGGTTGTCTACCTCCTTCACCAAATATGGGAGCCTTTACTATCCATGCGACATCGACTATCAGAAAGAATGTGTTTTAACAAAGAGCGATGAAGTTTCGGCAGACCAAATGCTTCGAAATGTTGCTACTTGCGCAGAATCTCTTGGTACACGGGGAGGCATTGTACCAAGTCAGCCAAAATGAGCCGCGCAAGACAGGAATCCCTCGAAAAGCTAAAGAACTGGGTGCTCGGACGAAATTCACAAATCACAAAGTTGGCCCAAGGTCAAGGCATCGGTTCTCGTCTTGATCATAGCGAAGAATTTGAGATAGATGGAAAGAAATACAGAAGATTCAAATGGAAAATCAACAAAAAAGCAGCGAACGCGACTTTGAAAGAGCTGGCAAACAAAGACTCCCACAAGGTCTGGGCCGAGGCAGACGTTCCAGTTGATTCTGATGCATCGAATGCATCCGATGAGGGTTGAAAAGCTTTTCAGTGATTTGAAGAAGAATATGAAGAGCTAGGGTGGTGAACCGTTCATCTCTGAAAAGGCAGACAAATAGTAGGGTGGGGTTGCAGTTTGAGGGACGTTTATTTATCTGCCAATTTTATTGAAAACAGTACGGTCATGGCATTTCAACATTAGATTTCCTGTAATGGTGCTGATCCACGGACGCACCAAGAAGGCGTTTTAGGCCAAATCCCAATATAATCTGCGGAGGAGTTTGGTATTTGAAGCCAGAGTGCACTCCTTTTAGGAAGGACACTTTACAACTGATCCCATGAGCAGAACGCAAAACGTACTTTGCAGGTATAAAAAAAAGTTATTTATTATATAAAGTTAGCGAGTTATATATCTATTTTAGGAAACTTTGTATAATAGTGGGTATAGTAGGTATACCCGGGATAGGTATACAACAGTCTACCCTATAAAGATTCACCACCTCCACAGTGGCGGTACTAGCGTATAAATTAGCATAGTATTTAATATTTAGTATGGTATTTTACAAATTGATACTACAATATTCTTTTAAAAAACAGGGTTCTCAACCTTTCAACTCTCCATTTCTCTCACATACAACATACAACAATTTCTCATATACAATACCACTACTATATACTATACTTAGTATTCAGTAGCACCCCCCTGAGCATCAATAACCGCCTAGCACCGAGTAAGTATACTCTCAATCAGCCTATTTAAGAAATCCTCCGGTATAGTATCCTAAGTATCACAAACAACCCCTCAGAGTATAGTAGGCGTCATATACTGATCTCCATACTTCTCCTCTATCCAATCCTTCATCCAATTCCATACAGACAATAGGATTCAAATCCGGTGAAAATGCAGGCCACGCCATTATTTGACCAAACGTTGTACTCAATTTATGTGAGATACACTATTATAGTGGTCCGGATGTTTTCGGGTATTTTGCACTGTTTTCAGCCATTCCAACCTTGGAAACACCCTGTTTTCGGCATAGGTTACATCCTTCGTTTCGACAAGATACCACAAGATAGATACGAAAAGAAATTAGTTATATTAAGATAGTCATTTTAAAGGATAGTAGCAAAGTATAAACTTATTAACGTAATTCCCAAGCGAGTTGGACACCCCACCCAGCCTATTAATTTTAAACGCATTTATTTCAACCAAAACTCCATTAAATTCAATCAGCTAAATTCAACCAAAACTCCATTAAATTC